AATTTTCTGTCAAATCAAAAAAAAATTGAAAAATAAAATAAAATAAATAAATAATAATAAAAATCAACCCATGGTGTTTCAGGGCAGCTCAATCTCCCATCTCCCCACCACTCCAGATTTTCCCATTCCAACTAGCTCGAGTTGTAAGATAGAAGGTCGAGCAGGTCAATCCGTTATTGATGCTAGTGGGTCTTCTGTAGGAAGCAGCAGACCCCAGTTGAGGGATTCTAATGGAGCGTATTGGAATTTGCACCACTGTTCTATAGCATTTTACATATGGTGCACAACCCACACTGGCAGAAGGCAGGTGGGAAACTCAATGGGCACATTGACCTTGAGCCAACACACAGTCTTACAAAACCCAAGAATTATATTTACACCTAGAATTGGAATGATCGTTACATTTGCTAGTTTAAAAACTATCTATGTTTCAAAGTATCTATGAAAAAAAACCCCGGGACAAAAACGCTGTGGTGGGCGTGTGAAACGTCATTCATTTATTTTAATTTTTTTTAAAAACTACATAATAGTGCCAAAGTGCAAAGCAGTACACAACCATCAGAAATTCTGTCTTATAGAATCCTAAAAAGGATAAAAAGTTCAATGAAGCATTAAAACCATGAGAATTGCTGTAACAAAGGACACAGGAGTGTTTCTACTAGATTTTGGGGGGGATATGGAGAGGGTGATTCCAATATTTTCTCCATCCTAACAGAGAGAGGTATTTTAAAATACAGCCCCTTAAAAAACACCCCATATATTCTAGGTTATTCTGGAGGTTCAGGGAGCTTCCCCCCTCCCCAGTCACTAACAGAATATATTTAAATGTACAAAACTACTGAAAGTTCAGCACAATAAAAAGCTTTTTTTAAAATGCAGTGCCAAGGAATAAAGGGTACAGGGCAGGGGGAGCAGGAAAAGCAAAATCCACACACCCCCAAATTAAAGGGGAAAAGATCAGATTATTTGCGTGCACAATTTCCCTAATAGTTTAAGACCAAGAGATAAAGTTAAAAATCCAACTGGCGACAGCCAGCCGTCAAGCAAGCAAGATTACAGTTTGAACAGACAAAGGGGAGAGGCAGAAAGCAGGGCAGTTCTAAATGCATTTGGAAGTACGCATATGGTGAATAACCAAAATTGCTCAATCAAGGAGGAGAAAACTGATCTGTGAGACAAGGACATCCTCCCCCCCACCCCCAAAATTTTTCCCTCACACACAGAGTAATGTGACAGGTGCCAAAACAGTGTTTAGCAGAACACACACAACATTGAAAGAGCCAGAAAGATGAAGGCTCCACAATGGGACGGCAGGACGAGAACAAACAAAAAAAGACAAAGGAGGCAGCAAATAAAAAGAACAGAGAGGAGCTATTTTTGGTATTCTCCAATAAATGCATAATATAGAAACGATTAGCTTGCAAAAAAAAAAAAAAAAAAACACTAAACACCCCTACCCTCTCTATTTAAAATAGAAGAGTTACTTAAGAAGTTTGCTCTAGGAATTTAAATGAATCACAATGCACGAGGGTGCCATTCTCTGCCCAGAAACAGCAATGGGCAAGGAACAATCCTTCCCTGGCTCAGTTATGGAGTTCAGAGACCGGAGCGGAAGATGACCAAGGGCCTGGATAAAGCTGTCAGAATGGAAAGCGATTGAAAGGATTGGGACTAATTAGAAAGGAGACAAATAAAAGTGTACAAGATAAAAGTAACTAATGAATGGGATAGAGGTGGTAGATCTTCCGTTCACTCTTTCCACAATAGAACAAATTGAAGAATGAATTCAAAATGGATAAAAGGAAATATACATTTTCCACACAAATGCTCATTTACCCTGTGGAACTCACTGCCAAGGGATATTGTGGCTATGACTTTGGTAGGATTCAAAAAGGGATTGGAGATTGGATATTCTCGTTATCCACATAAATGCCCAGAGTTCTAACAGTAAAGATTAAACAAACAAGAATCTTGAAAGGGATACAAGTCATCCTGCTTCTTGGCATGAGCCAACCCTATTGGGAGTCAGGAGAATGCTTTCCCTAGGGTCAGGGTTACCCTGCAGTCCACATGTGTGGGATATCTTTCACCTTCTTCTCGAGCATCTCTTGGAGACAAAATATTGGACTGGATGGACCATGATCCAGTCTGGCAATTCCTATGAACCTTGATGCTACTTTAGAAAATGCTAAGCTAGGTTAGGGTGTCATCCAGTGGAAACTTATGATCCGAACGGGCTCCCAGTGACTTCAATGGCAGCTTTGCTAGCGGGCTCCAGTTAGGGTTGCCAACCCTCCAGGATTATCCTGCAGTCTCCAGGAATTAAAGATTAACCTTTAATTAAAGAGAATGTCATGTGATGAAACCTCCAGGAATTCAGCCAACCAAAGTTGGCAACCCTAGCTCCAGTGGACCAGGACTAAGCCCTAAGCAGTTATAAACTGGAGCAAGCACTCATGGGGAGTCTCACCCAGGTTACCTGCCAATTCTTTGACAGTCAGCTTGCTGCTGCTCAACCGGGGCACCCTGCCGAGCAAAGGCTTCCATCATGACGCATTGAGAGGTGTCGGATTTTCTTGGCAGCAGATCAGATTCCGCAGCACCCCCACAGCCCAGCTTGCAGATGGAGACACTGCTCAGCCAGGGCCCATGGCCTGCAGCACACCAGTCTGCTCCTAACTAGGAAAGTGGAGACACGTTTCAGGCAATGGGGCTTTTAAACCAACATAACGTTCTAGGGGAACTAGTTGTGGCGAGCAAGCTCCAGCACGCTGGAGCATGGGAGAAGCCAAGTGAGACGAAGGCCCAAGCAAGACATGCTGTCTAGGGCCAAGCAGGCCTCTGGCACCTGCGCAGGCTGGAAGCCTATGCCAGATGCTCACAGGCAGGAGGCGCGTGCATTATTTAAAAGGGAAAACTAGGAGGACAAGTGCTGGCTGAGTAAGCAGGAGGGCCCACCTGGCACCACAGTTCAATCTCACGGCTCAGCTAGAAGCAGGAGGCTGGAAGAGCCCCCTGAGCACCAGCAAAGGAGCTTCATAGGCAGAGAACACCTCCCTTTCCCTCTGTGGCCAGAAGGCGGCACAGTGACTCCACCCCTCTGTGTAGGGCAATGGCTATCCTCCCTCAGCCCCAGCCCACTTTTCCTCTCCCAAGGCACCCTGTCAGACTCTGCTCGGTCAGCCCCGTGAGATTTCAACACCACTGAGCGCAAAGGGGCTGCACGGGAGTTCCACAGCATGGCACGTGGCTCACCCGCCGCGAACAGCTCTGCCAACGTAGACGCGAGCCTGGTGAGCGAAGCAGCGCCCCCACATCTATGCAGCACACTGTTTGCTACTATCTTGGGTCACAGCAGCCCTTTAGCTTGGCATATTCCCCCCTCCTCTGAATAAGGACAGTCCCCTGGGACTCACACTGGGTTCTTCTGTTCAGAAAACACAGTCCTGCTGAACAGGGATTTGGGCTCAGAAGCAAATCCCTGGGTGGAGGCAGCTCATACCACCTTCTTCCAAACCCACAGCTAGGTAGAGACCTGGGTCATGCCCAAAACACAGGTTAATCCAAAACCCATTCAAGCCTATAGATTTCTTTCCAGGGTCCTTTTGTGGTTTGTACAGCACCTAGCACAAAACCTGCTCCACAGCAGGGACTCCAAGATGCTACCATGATCTAGATAATTGACTCCAATGGGATTTGGATTAGGCTTTAAAGGAGGAACATGAGCAACAGCAAAGTGGGTGCGGGAAAGCGGTAGCAGCTTAGGTGGATGAAATGTGAGGCTCCTGGCAGCTGCCAATATTCACTGAATAAACAGAGCTAGAACTGTGGCATGTTTCAGGAGAAAACTGCTTTTAGGGAGGAGGTAGCATCTCATTGCAGGGAGCAGGTGGGGCCAGGCCCTGGCCAGCAGTCAGATTCAGGTGGGAACATACAAGACTGACAAGAAAGTGGGGTGGGAGAGAGATGAACTTTCCTCTCTTTATAAGTGAGCTTGGTCCTGGGGCATCCCATGAATATTTACAGAGAGCAGCACCAGCCCCTTCAGCATGGAAACAGACAGGCATGACTGGAGAGGTTGTATCTGGTTCATGAGTCTGAGCCATCCTTTAAAACTGGGAAAGCAGCAGTAAGTGGCTTTTAATTTCCCTCCCGTGCCTTGGTGATATTACTAGTGTCATCAAAACCTTCTTAAAAGGGCCATGCCACTTACATGCTCACGTCCACAGCCCAGGCATCACTGCCTTGTGTGTGTGGATAATAAAGAATTCCCTGGCTCTAGCTTTTCTTTAGTTCTGCTTTTCTCGGAGATGATGCAGGTGGAGAGCTGCAGCATGTCTACAACCAATGGTTCGTGGATTTGTTTGTTTTTAAAATGTACTTTCTAGGAGCATTGTGCCAAGAAGTGGGCACAAACTGATTAGGCGCCAACCTTTTCTCTCAAGTCTTGGCTATTCCATTTCCATCCTCCTGTTTCCTGGAGATGATTTTCCTCCTCTAATTCCCTAGCTTGCATCGAGCCTGCATACTAAATTGCAAAGAGCTCAGACCACACCAGTGATCAGACAGCACCTGCTGGCCATTTTGATGACCTGTATGTTCTCAGCACAGCAAGGCACATAATAGAGGGAGTGAACTAATCTAGCAGCTACCCCCCGCTGATCCAAGCCAATGGGAGTTGAGGGAACTCAGCACCTGAGGATCAGACTCTACCCCATTATAGGGTAGCTTTAACAGCAGGCAATTCACTAGTGATTAGGAAATGAGATTCAGCCATTAAGACACATAGCTACTCCCCCATCCCAAAATCATTAGGCTACAGAATAAATAGATGTGTCTGCAAACATCAGACCCTTGCTGGAAACGCAGAACCACTCCTGTGAAAGCACCTCCCTCTCATGGCAGTTAAAGGGCCATACACATCCCCTGTGATCCCAAATCGCAGGTGCAGAGTTCTGGGCCACGTGTACATATAGAAACGATCATTTTGCAAGAATCACTCCATTTTTCTCAGAATAATTTATTAAATACAGCATTAAAATTTTATTTGTTATGAATTCAGTCATTAAAAACAAGTTTGTATTTCATATATTTATGGACCTGGACAATCATTTTATAACTATGGGTGCAGAGAGAGAGAGAGCACGCCAGTGCTGCTAGGGAATGTTTTTTCCCCCCCATCCTCCCTTCCCCCAAAGCAGTTCCACACAATTAATGACATTTGCACAGAAAAGGGAGAGCCGTCCCCCAGCAGCCAGCCCTGGGTTAGGTAGAGGCAGGTGGAAGCGGGGATGAGAGAAAGGCTTCGGCTCTCAGAATTGGCTTCTGCTATAGGGTGTGCAGCTTGAGACCCCTTATCTTGGGTTCAGCACTCACAGCTGAAAAGTGTCTGCAGGACCCAGCAATGTCAAATGCAGCTGCAGGTGATCAGCATTTCTGATCATCACATTGGTACGAGGTCAAGATGGGCACCCTCAAAAAACAAAGCAAACAAACAAAACAAAAAACACACCCTGTCAGAGGCCCACTGTTGGAGGAGATGTTGCCCCTAAATGCCCCTAACCTCTGCCCCTGGAGCATGCTCATTTGGTTTGGTTTTGCACTGCAGCTTGCAAAGCTAGAAGCAGGAGTAGGTCACAGTCCACGGGCCTTTCTGGCACTTCCATCCAATGGACAGCAAGGCTCTTTGCAGGGAGAGCATTTCCTGCTTTCAGGTCATTTCAAAGGGTGGGGTTCCCCGTGAAGCCCCTTGGGAGAACTCAGAGGTAGTGTTAGATGGAAGTTTGAAGCTTGATTGTCAGTTTCCAGCTGGCTGAGAGCAGTGGATTGTGGGAACGAAGAGGTTACGCCCTCCAGAGCAGGAGCTATCAACCACTTGCAGACCGAGTGCCTGGGAGGTTTCTGGCAGCTGATTTGGCTGGCATGGCAGAGCTTATCCCCTTTATACCAAAGTCCTAAGAATTTAAAAGGGATGAAGCCAATAGGGTGCTGCAGGTGTTGCTCAGAAAATCCTATAAGATTTTTATAGACAATTCTATTCCTGCAGGAGACCTCTAAAGACTGGCTTCAAAAAGTGCCATGGAAAGGTATTAAATTGTATATCACTCTTCTTCCCCTCCTCACCACCTGGGACTATCCCCAGTAGGAATCCTGCTAGGGTTCCTGATGAGTGCCTAGATCAAGGTCATGGCTACAGAAGCCCCCTTGTCTCATCAAGTACTGGCAATGTTTTCGCTTGCAACTGTTGGAAGCTGGCCAGTCACTTTGCAGCATGGCAATGCAGAGAGCCTGCCCTACAGGCCCTTTTTACCCCTTTGTGCTGTGGCTGTGCCTTCTGGAGATCTCCTATGGTGGCAGACATTGCCCCATTGATTTGGTGTAAAGTAGGGGTGCAGAGCAGGTAGGAAGGGCTTTGAGGAAGTCAGCTACACCAAAGGCCCACATGGAAGGATGACCGAGGCTGCTGAGCCCAGTCCTGATTAGAAAAAGCACTCAAACCCACCACAAAAAATATATCAAATGAATCCACACAAGCCTGCTATCGCAGACAGTAGAGACAACAATTCAGTAGCATTTTCGATAAGGCATCACAGGTGCTAAATAAAGTGTTGATTACAGTACAGGAACACAGACCATTGTGCAAGGCATCCCGAGGGCAGGCAATGTCTCTGCCCCGGTGCGTCAGGAGAGCGGGTGTGAAGAGGCTGTACAATTCCCCTCCCCACCCCACATACACCACGCCCCACACTGCTTCTCACCGCTCTATTTCTTTAAAATAAAAAAAGAAAGACTTAAAAAATCTCAGCCCAGGAGTAGCTGGTGGCCCCAAGTACAAGAGATGCTTTGCGCGGTACCGGACTTGGCAGCAGATGGGGAGCCTCGGGGACAGCACTGTCAAGGTTCCAAGCACAGGGCTAGTTGCCATTGCTGAGGCTGGAGTTGGCGCTGCTGCAGCTTTGTTCGTAGGAAGGGGGTGCCTCTACCAGAGAGAGGGGAAAAAAAAAAAAAAGAAGTTTAGGAGTCAGATTGTACAGCTTACTTTGAAGGTTTCCCTCCCACCACTCTGCTCCTCCAGCTAGGGCCCGATACAAATCCCACTGAAGCCAATGGCCAAAAAAAACCCCACCATCTCGGACTTTACAGGACTAGAGCCCATAAAGAGAGACGCACAATTGAGTGAGTGACTTTTTGTGGACAATTTGCCATTCTGCTCCTTTCAGGGCATGAACCAGAGGGCAGAGGAGCTAGGAATGACTTTGTGGACCACAGAACACCAGAGAAGCAGCCCCCAGCCCTGCCATCTGAACTGGAAAGTACACGAACTGATCACTTGAGAGGCGGTAAAGGACAGCCTGTAGCTACTGAAAGACACTCATACCCCTATGATTTGTCTGTTCATGCAAGAAAAAGTACTTTCAATTAGGTGGATGGCCACCAACACAGGCACTTACATAGTCCTTCAGAGCTCTTTAAAATGTTAAGCTTCACAACTCCCTGGTCTGGTAGGGATTAACACTCAGTTTTACAAGTGGGAAAATACTTAGTTTTACAGGTGGTCCCTATCTGCGTTCAACACGTGCGTACACAAGCATACCATGTGCCGGAGATTGGAGAATTTGAGGAAGAGCGTCCGTTGGTCTGTGCTTGCAGTTCTCCTCCTCCTGCTCCAAACCCAGGGGATAAGAGAAGGTGCAGATCAACACCTCCCCAGTTCCTTTATTTCTGCCGATCAGATACAATCCACAGCAGAGGGGAGGCAGGGTGGGTAGTGGAATACAGATAGGGACCACACATCTTGAAGAACCTCCAGTCACAGGTAAGTAGCCTCCATTTCTTCTTAAAGTGTATGTTCCTATGTGTATTCCACGCATGGGTTATTGGTAAACTGTATTCAAGTCAGGTAGAGGTAGAGGTGTGTGGGGGGGAGGTGCAAGGCTGCAGTTGGTATAGAGGTCTAATACTGCTGCCCCCTCTCCCCTTAGCTGCATCTGCAGACAAGGCCTAATGTTATGAATGGAGCTCCAGGTTAATGTCCACGTGAATGTGAGAGAGTCTTTCATGCTGAGAGCTGCAAACCACATTCCCTCCACCAGGAAGGGGATTATTTATGCCAGCTTAACCATTTGGCATTTTGATTTGCCAATAAAAACATTTAATTGCTGAAGGTCGAGAACAGGTCTCCATCCTCCCTTTTTCTTGGGAACGATGGAATATGGGGAGTAGAAACCTTTCCCTTGGTGCTGAGGTGGCACTTGTTTTATAGCCCCTTGTTGGATGGAGAATCTCCTCATGAGTGGTCCCCGAAGAGGAACCAGGAAGGGGAGAGGAATTCTACAGAGTAGCTGCAGTGGGTGATTTCTAATATCCACTGGTCTGTTGTGATAACCACCCAATTGTGGGCAAAGAGGACGGGGTGGCCACCCAAGGTCCAGAGGGCAGAAGTGGATGGCATCAGTAGGGGTAGGAGGTTCTTGATCATCCCGTCAAAAAGTAATCCCTGAGTGATGGATGTGGCTGGAGTATTTGCAGTTGTGACACAGGGAGATAAATACCTACATCTTTGTATCCTCAGACATTTGCATGGTGGCTTGAAAGGGCGCTGGTGGTGGAATGGTGGAGGAGGCAGTTTCGGCTCATACATTTGTGCTTTCTCTTTGGGGCAGGGGTGTAAATGCCTGGGGAGCAGAGGACTGTCCTAGAGACTCGGGCTTCACACTAGATGGATTAGACTCGATGGGCAAGTTCTCTAGGACATTCTGAACCTCCCAGAGAAACTTGGGAGGAGTGTAGCCAAGACTCCTGCCTCATGAGTATTCCTGTCTCCAACCCATTAGATGCCATGTTGGCAGCATCCATGGCAACTTGTCTGGCGTTTTCACCACCAATTTGCCATCCTCAATGAAGTCTTGAAATTCTTGAGGAAAATTTTGGACTACAGGGACAAACTCCCAGTAACTGTTGAAATTATTTTGCTAACAGAGCCTGGTAGTTAGCAATATGAAACTGAAGGCTGTTAGAAGATAATACCTTCCTTCCTAGAAGATCAAGCTATTTCGAGCCCTTGTCCACAGGTGCTGCTTTGGGACATTGCAGGCTAGATCTCGGAGGCGTCTTGTATTGCCAGGGAGCTGAGTGCTGTGTGTGTGAAAAACTCCACTCCTTGGCTGGTACAAAAATATCACCTCTTGCCCCTTTTTGGGGTGGTGCACAGGAGACTGGAGAATGCCACACTACCTTGTCTGGTTCCAGGATGCCCTCATTTACTGGGAGGCTACTTGGTTGGGAGCAGAAGGCTACAAGATGTAAAAGACTGTGTGCTGAGTATCTTGGACATCCTCAAGTGAAACCTGAAGTTCTTCACCACTCTCTGCAGGAGCTCCTGATATTGCCTGTGGCCATTACGCAGGGATAGGGAAGAAGGGACAAATTGCCTCATTTGGTGAAGGCAAGGAAACACCCATTGGTCGCTCCAGATCTGGCTTGAAATTCTTCTCCCTCTTACTACAATGGAGCTGGTTGGTGTAGTGTAGAAGAGGGTCAATGGGACTCATGGATGGATCAAAGGTGTCTAAAGTAGGGATCCTATAGACCCTAACAGGTCCAATATGAAGGGCTGACCAGTTGCGGGGGATCCCAAGGAATCACAGACCATCAGTCCCTCGGATAATAGTATCTGGGTGGAGGATGGACTCCAGATCTTTGAGTCTGTCTGAACTCACCTCCCTATGTGGGGATGATGGTTCATCTGGAGCTTCCAACCCATCGGGAGAGAAAGCTGGCTCCTGTTCAACCAGCAGAGCCGTCTGCACTGGTGGGTAAAGCTCCTGCCTACAGATGGGAGTGGGGAGCATTTCCATTTCCTCAAGGTTTCCTCCTCCAGTGTCAAAATGTCTCAAGCCCTGAAAGAAGGGGAGGGTGAAGATATCCTACAGCAGTGGTCACCAACCAGTCGATCCTAGAGGATCTCTGGTGGTGCAACGGGGCTGCTGCTAAGGCAGGCTCCCTGCCTGCCCCAGCCCCATGCTGGTAACAGAGGCATGTTGGCCCCTTCTGGGAGCCTGCCTTAGCCTCACTGCGCTGCCAACTGGGAGCCACCCGAGGTAAGTGCTGCCCAGCAGAAGGCCACACCCCAATCCCCAGCCCTGAGCCTGCTCCCGCACCCCAACCCTCTGCCCCAGCCTGGAGCCCCCTCCTGCACTCAAACTCCCTCCCAGAGCTTGCACACCTCACCCCTTCCTGCACCCAAACCCCCTGCCCCAGGCTCAACCAGAGCCCCCTCCCACACTGTGAAGCCCTCAGCCCCAGACCAGAGCCCATCCCAGTGAAAGTGACTGCAGCAGGGGGAAGGGGGGGGAGGGGGAAGGGAGAGCAAGCAGGGCAGGGTAGATCCTGGGTTGCCCTTAAATTCAAAAAGTAATCTTAGGTGTAAAATGTTTGGAGAACACTGTCCTATAGGGAGGTGTCAGTTTTGGTTTGTCTTGAAGTAGGAGGTGTTTCTACAGTTGGGACTAACAGATCTGGCATGTCCCTAGTCCAGGAATGGGTCGGTACCATCAAAGAGTCTAACTGGGAATTGAGATGGTCTTGGTGTGCCGATCCTTAGGCTTATCAACTGGAGATGTCAGAAGTGGCAGATCCTTTCATCTTCATGCTTTACCCTCATGATCAGAGGGTTTAAGCTGGCTAAAGCCTTAGGATCTGGGCACGAGGATTCACTTGACTTGACCGAGTCAGGGAGGGAGCAGACCTGAAAAGACATCGGTCTTTGTACTCATGAGAGTAAGGGGCACTCTCATGAGCAGCCCTTGCTGATGACTATTTGGGTTTTGCAACTCTGGAGCTCGTGCTTGGAGGGTTGTTTCTCATTGGTAGAAGTCGATGTATGGCGTGTGTGAGGGAGGAGGGAGTCTCCCTGGCCTGTATCTGACTGAGGTCTCAACCATCTCCGTAAGGTGTTTTCTCAGATGATCTCCCTCCTCACAAGTTTCGGAAGGCGGGGGCGGGAAGGAGCGGAGTGACAGATGCTGCACTTAATCGATCCTTTTCCTGGCAACAAAGGCAGCACTGTTGTTTGATGCTCACGGGGAAGGAACGGGGATAGAGACAGTTCTCAAGCTAAGCTTACTACTACAAGACAAACGAACACCAAGACTACATACAACACATTTACAGGTTCTGAAGACGAAACACGGAGGTATCCATGGACACAGAAGATTCCAACTCGGGCTATGCAGTGGTAAGAAGAAACTGGAGAGGTCTCTGTCTGCACCAACTCTTATTCCCTCAGTTCGGAGCCCGAGGAGGGCATCTCCGCAGCCGCGGACCAACCGACAGACACTACTGGCTAGAAATCTCCAGTCTCAGGTGCATGGCATGCGTGCGTACCCGCGTGTACAATACACTTAGGGACTAGCACTCTAAGTAGTAGTGATGGTTTTGCTTACCTATGCAGCAGTTAGGTTAGTACCCCTAGATCTCACCCCCTCCCCGTCAATCAGCATCCTCTCACTCCCCTTGCAATTCATCCATCCCTTGTTGGCTGTGTAACTGACCCAAACTGTTTCTTCCAGGCCAAACATCAGCAAAGACAACATCTAGTGCCTCAGTTTTTACCCTGAGTGCTAAGGGTGTTCTTATTGCATTAGGATATTGGTTGGTCTAAGCCTGTTCTCTCACAGACCCTAGATGGGCAGTTCTGGGATAGGCAGGGTTCCATGGATTTTCTCCTCATGTATAAAGGAGTTCCCAAATTCTTACATGCTGGACCATCTCATCACACATGTAGAATTTCCCCTCTTTGAGCCAGACCAAATGCCCATTCACAAAGGAAAGACTCCTGTTAAAGTTGCTTTTCCAGTTCTGTTGCCAACAGCATCAGCATGGGCCCAGACATTTACACCATCCTGTTGGACCAATACCATCTTTTGCAAAGATCTTCTCCACTTCCACAGCTATCCTCAAGATAATGTTGGCTGTGGGTAGGTCACCTCCCTCATAGTAGACATGAGGCATGACTGTCATGGCTATAAAGGGGGAATCCTTTACGGAGGCTACTGGGCACAGAGACCCTGTGACTTTTCTGACTAACAGACCATGTGGCCTGGTCTCCTCCTACATGGCTCTCCCCATGTCCTGGCCTAGCTCAGCAGCCATGGAAAGAACCACTACCACACGACAGGGGTTCAACCACTGCTCTGGCAGCAGCGGGGTAAGGGACAAGTCTACACTCCCAACAGCCACTGGATTGATTTCCCCTCACAACCTAGACAGCAGCTCTTTTAGAGCTCCGGGAGGGAGCGCTCACCATTGGGGTAACCCCACGTGCTGTACTCCGGAGGCAAGATGAGAGAGCTGGCGGTGGGAACCGGAACCACTGTCCCCTCAGCATAGTACGGGACCGTCGCTCCTGTTGCCAAGCAAAGTGTGGGGTGGTTTGGGGAGGCAGTCTGGTCTGAATCCAGCCTTACGTCCTGGAGGCTCAGTCCTGGAGCGTAGCTGAACCTCTGAAGCTGGGAATGGCTCTTGGTGGGGATTGAAACATTGTCCATTGGGTGATAGCCACTGGCAGCTTCCTCCTCTTCTGGTGGGGCGGACGGCACCACAACGGATGGAATGTGCTGGACCGACCTAGCCGGGGTCAGAGGAACCCTGTTCACAGCGATGTTGCCGATGTAAATAGGAAGAGTGACTGAAACCTCTGGCGACTTCAGGGAAACCTGGGGAGGGGAGAAAACAAGAGGCATCCAAGTCAGTCAATCCAGGTTCTGCCAAAGGCCCAGCTGCTCCAAACACAGGCAGTTCCAGCCACTGAGCAGAGATTAACAGGACAGCTACAGTTCTAGGCCCAAATGTGCCAGAAAGGTAGCAAGTTATTGGGAGGTCCCCAGTCTCATGCTGCAGCACCCACATGGTCTTGTTTGGTGTCTTAACCAGGTTTTTGAGAGAGCTCAGGGCCAAATTTCCAAGTACTCAGGACCCAGTGGGCAGAGCTCTGCTGAAAGCTTGGCCAGAAGCATCACTTTTATTCCAATCTCTAGCTGGCTAACCCCAGACTTGCCGAGGTTGGGACTGCACCATTAGCATTTTTCAGCAACAAGCCTATGTAAAACCGTGCATCTGTGGGTAGGGATAGTAGTATTGCCCCGCACCAAAACCGGGAAGCAGACTGGAGCTCTGTAACCCAGGGAGCTGCAGACACTCATCTGCTGAGCAGCCTGACAGGCAAGTCCTACCACATGGGTGTCTCCTCCAGACCAGGTGGTGTTTACTCCATGGAGCGCAGTATTGTTTGGAGAACTTCTTCCCCCAGGCAGAAACTCCTCTGGCTCCACCCTCCCCAAGGACTCTGGCAGCCCTGGCCCAGCCCATTGGCAGCCCTCACGGATGTTCTGCTTAAGGAAGGGGCAGGGCAGGGCAGTACCTACCTGGATATAGTAGTCGACATGTATGAGGCTGCAGCCTTGCAGCATGGACTGCGGCAGTGCAGGGACAAGGATCTGCTCCTTCCATTCCGCGTGCTTCCAGGCCTTCACCCCCGAGCCCTCCACCTCAGCAATGGTCCTCAAGTCATAAATCCAGCGCTTGGATTTATAAGCGACCTTCTATAGAGAAGAGCGAAGATGGGATTAAGCAGAACAATTTCTACAGGGTCCGTTTCACTGGGCTTCCAGCATTGCTCAGAGTTGCCAAGAACTAGAAACCCTTTAAGCGTTGCTGAGTGAGAGTAAGCAGAGGTCTGGCGTGACAGACAGCAACATGAAGTTTCTGCCTTGTATCAATTATGTGACAGTTGCCATCTTGGCAGACACACTGGAGATTAAATCAAGGACTCCAGAGCTGAAAGCATGGACTGCTACAGCTTGAGCTGAAGCAGCAAGGCTCTCTAGCTGATGCTGCAAGAGACTCAGTGGAGTAGGCACGGAGTGGGATGAGGATCTGCAACCTGCCCTCTGCCCGCTCACTGAGTTACACCTGGATTGCATTCATGGGGGCGTCTCTCCTCCCACCCCATGCCCAAGTTAGTTAATTCTGCATCCCCTCTAAGGATTTGGTTTCCACCTAACCTCCTCCCATCACCACCTACTACACACCTGGGAAGGGAGATGCACAAGGATTTCAAGTTTAGCAGACCCCCATTTATATTACCATTGCGCCTAGGAGGGAAAGCAAGTCTTGAGACACTGCTCTCAGCATCTGCCTGGATGTGGCTCTATCCAAGCCAGCCCAGCATCAGTCCCAGTCCCTGCTGATGTCTCTTACCTGGAGGAGGCTGGCCACCACAGTGCCAGTGTCCCGGCCAGACTCGTTCCCGATGTCGGTGCACAGCTGGATCGCCTGCCCCGCGATATAACCTTTGAGGTCCGAGGCGGCGGTCAAGACGATATTTCCACTCTTCACCAGCTTGTAGTTGAACTTCTTGGTGATGGACGTGGTGTTCGGTTGCTGTGGGAGGACAGCAGGTGGTCAGACGCGGGGGCTCAAGAGGGAGTTTGCAAAAAAATGGTCCAAGGGAATGAGGGTTTGGCCAAATCCGAAACACCTGGTCTTCCAACAAGCTTGGTATTCTACACAGTTTGAATAAGGCTGAGCGCGCCTCCCAGTGGAGGCCACATCTCCCACATGGGGACAAATACAACGCTATGAGCTACTGTACCCCACAGATCATCTTCCAGAGTAGGGCAGACTTCACTGGCCCCCAGAGGGCTGCTGCAAACCACAGGTAAACACACACAAAGCAGCTGCTTTTCCCATACGTGCTGATAGTGATCTCATCAAGGGCCAGTGCCCAATTCCTTTCACAGCAGCAGTGACAGCCACCCCAGAACAACGGTCTATTCATCAGAAAAGATTCCAGGCTGGCAAAAGCCAGATGATGGTGTCATTAGACCCAAAGGGTCATTACAACAACCCCTAGAGTGGGGCTGGTTACACACTCCCCCAGGCCTGCACCCAATGGGATCACCTAGAAAAAGGCTAGTTCTCATGCAGATCTCTGCAGCCCACACATGAAGGGGACTGCGCTAGTCAGTGGGGCAAGTAGGGTGGTCTGGTCTAGTCTGCTGTAAGCTATTTATAGTCAGTATGGCGTACTGGAAAGACACAGAGGAGCAGAATGTGGGGCCACCCGGTTCTCCTAGGATCCCGTGCAGCTGCGTGCCCATGTCTCCTGTCCAGGGTCTGTACAGCAGCCCTGCCGGAGACCGGGCTGGGGGCGTGGCTAGGGCATACAGCCGTGCCGGTGGAGCTGCTCAGTTGCCAGCGTGTCTGAAATAAATATATTCTCTGCTGTCAGAGGGAGCTGGTTTGAAGCTCCTCCGCTGGCGATTCCCAAAGCAGGTGCGACTGGGCCGGCTATTGTTCCTCTTCTCTTGGCATCCCACACAGCAGCTGTGCTGGGTCCACCCACTGGGAGCACTCCCCCCCCCAGGTAATGTGGGATGGATCATGGGGAGGGGAGGGGGGACACCAGGGGGTCCCAGGCTAGGGGAGGTCACATTCCCTCCCGACCCCCCTGCCTTTAACTGGTGCGGCATACCGGTAAGAAATGAATCCTACTAGCCTCACTGGCACTAGTGGAAACGGCAGCGGAACAGGCCCATGGATTTACAGCCCAGACCAACGATACCCTGCAGTGCTTTGGGTGGCAACGTGCTAACCCCTATTGCATCTCGTTCCATGTAGTGCGCTCCATGAGCGACCCTCTCCTCCGAGTTACTGCCCTGACTTCGCAGGGAGACACTGGATGGGGGAGAGGGACGCTTGGCTTCTCCTTTATTCCAGTGGGAGACGCTCAAGGGTGCAAGAGCCTCTTGCTCTCCCCATTGCTGCTCTCTTACCTCAATGTCAGGGATGTCATTCAGGTTGAGTGGGCAGAGAATGTAGAAGACCTTGTTGCACTTGTGGTCCTTCGCAAATCGGGGTGTATCAATCACGGCTTTGACCTGATGGACCACCTTCCCAAAAGGGCCTTCAAACGATGTGGGGGCTGATGCTACATTCATAAGAGAGAAGGCAGTCAAAAAGAGAATGCCTCAAGCCATCGAAAGGGGAGCTCGGCCTTACCCACAGAGCCTGAAACACTTTCCTGTGGCTCAAAGCAAGAGGAGAGGCAGAACCTTGCAACTATTTGGGAGTTGGTCTCCCAAGTGCATTTGAGCCTATGCATGAAGAATCAGGGACCAAATTTGGTCCATCAGGACTACTGCCCCTTCAGTAAAAAGGAAGCTGCAACCTGGGCCATGCAGCCATGGTGTATGCAGAAGCAGAGACAGCACTAACTCCTCTTATTTGTGCTATGGTAGTGCCAGGAGCTCCAGTCACAGACCCGGCCTCACTGTGCTAGGTGCTGTACAAAACAGTGAACAGAGACGGTCCCTGCCCCCAGGAGCTGACAATCGTCCTCCCACTCTGCTCTAGAGAAGTTTACAATACAGAGTTCCCACCGGTTTTCCCACCAGTGCTGGTGAGGAGGTGGGGTCGCTAATGCGGGCAGACTCCAGCAGCTTCCAGCTAGTTTTACTACTGTGTGGTTTAGTTAATATGGCTGTAGAGGTACCAGAGGTTCCCAGAGCCTCATCTGCACTAGGCAAAGAAGAACTGCCTCGGTCCTTTTCGGGTTAGCCAGCCGTGTGGTCAAGAGGCATGACTACAGTGCAGCTTCCATCATCGCTCTCACCAGCAGGGGTTTAGGGGTCTGAATTTGGCCCGTGGAGACACAAGTTAGGGCTCCCATCAGCCCAACAGCTCCCAATGAGATGGGTTTCCACCGAGATTCTCTAATGAAGACAACCTCCAGAGGGATAATTCCTTGAAGGGCCAGATTTATGCAGCAAAGTTGCTCTTCTAAAAAGCCGGGCTCAATTTAAGACCAACTCTAGCTATGCATTGAGAGGCAGCCCTGAGGGTCTTTCTTAAATAAAGGTTTGTGCTCTTCCTGCCAGCGCTCTCCAATGCTTAATATGCTCTTAGGCCTCGACTAGACCAGGAGAACAGCTCTGGTTTGAAAACATATCAGTGGATACGACCTTAAAATGTGACTTTGCACCTGGCACGGACATGCTTTACTACCATCAAGAGTCACTAGCTGTTTGTGGTTGACTCTGGGCTCCCACCAGTGTCTCCAATAGGTACTAAAGTCATGTTTAAAAATCCCATTAGCCAGCCAGCTCTGAATCTCACCCCCCCCCCCCCCTTTCTCCTAGCTGAGCCAAGGTCTTAGAGGCTTGACAACAAAGGTCCTTTCCCCACTTGGCCAGCATGCGCTTTTTACTGTATAAGGCAGAGGAGAGAAGAGTCTCCCGGAAACACTAGCGTCACTACGTTTTTCACAACCCTGAGCCTCCCAAGCAGTCAGTATCTCCACCATACCTGGCACCAGGAACTGGAAGGGAAAGGTGTGCTCGCCAGCTGTCAGAACCCCTGCAAAAGAGAGAGCAAAAGGCATATGAGACAATCTGGAGGCATCCCGGGCACTGAGCCTGAAACAGGATATCAGTGCATTAGCACCAGGCTTCCCCGAGAAGACAGACTGCCAGCTGAGAGCACATGTCCAGGACTCATCCCCACAAAGCATTCTTCTCACCACAGCTGAAGCACTCACACTCAGTGCATGGAATAGGCCAAGATCCATTTACCTGTCTAAACACTAGCAACAGAGGAGATATGGGGCAGTGTCCTGGGGGCAGCCAGTGCAGTGGTCAGAGGAGCAAGGTCTATAGCTACTGGCTGGCCACAGGTGACTGGGTGTGGGACCCAGGAAGGAGATGCATGTGAACAAGGCCAGGATGGTGCTGGCTGTCCTGGGCTTGGAGAAAGTTTTGGTGGTATCAAGCCAGTATAATCTTAATCTTCTCCACATGCTACTCACCCTCACGGAGCCCATTTACCTAGATAAGACCAAACTCCCCCTCCTTCAGGCAGGTTGCTTTGCAGTCTCTGGCTCTCATCAGTGATGGGCCAAAGCTGGAACTCCTGAGCCCCATTAGGGTTAAAGGCAGAGTACAGTTTCAGACTTCTAGACCCTACAGTTTTGGTCCTGGTTTTTAGAGGACATGGCTGAGATCTCACAAATATCAGCTTGAAAAGACTTCAGTGCAGTTGATTGGATTTGTTCCACAACCAAGTGCAAGGATCATACAGTGAACAAGGCCTGTAATGCAATCGTCAGGCCTAGTCTAGGATCTGCAATCTATCATGACCCTTGTGTTTTTAGCACGGCAGGCAGTCTCCCCTCCCTCCGTTCTGCCTGGCCCTTACACCGCAGGCCCTCACCTAAAGAGCTGGATGGGCTCCTGGCAGGGGTGCTGAGAGCCATTAAAGTACCCCATATATAGAATGGGGACCACTTCAAGCCAGGGGGTGCGGCAGCACCCTCAGTTCCAGCACCTCTGGTTTCTGGGTCCCACGTCCATCTTTTGTGACGGGAACAGACTAAGAGACTGTGACATGAGAGATAATTGCCGGTCTGGTGGTTTGCCTTAGCAGTTGTGGGTATTGAAGACACTCTGATTTGATCAGGCATTGGGAGAAGGGTTTAGATTTTGTACCAGAGACTTCATTTTATTTGGCATCAAGTTCTCCACTTCAGCACGTGCTGCCCCTTTTCCAAACCCACTGTTACTTTAACTCCAGTAACCACGCAGCAACTCGCGGTAACGTCTTTGGACCACATTAATGGCATTGTAACCGACTGTAGGAGCACTTCTGAAAGAGCAAAGAGCCAAGATTAGCTTGGCATGGCTAAAGCCATCAGCCAATCCTGCCTTTTAAAATTTACAAGCCAACTGCAATGCTCTGTGCACAGTTCTCATTTCTAGATTCCAACCTAGTTCATCAGCAGTTGATAAATTGCAGTTAAGGGCAGATAAGTGATACTGTTATACTTACTACCTATTTAATCTCCAGCAATAGACAACAATTTTGTAAAACCCTCTTCATTCTTGCTGTTTACATGTACACGCGATGTTTTTAATTGGCAGCACAGCAAGAGGAACCTGCTACCGACTCACTGAAGCTGTGTATGTTCTGCAGGTAACTTATACTAGGAAGCCAGAGCCAAAACCCAGAACTAAGCTAGCTAATTTGTTGATGCAAGAAATGGGCTACAAGACAGCTGACAGTCAGTTTAGTAGTAGAACCCCATTTGTCAGCAGACTAAGCAGATTACTGGACGCAGACGGGGAAAGAGACATGAACAATGGAGTTTCTCTTCCCCCTTTGCGGGAGACATTTTTGCTACATGGAATCCTGTAATGGGTGGGCCACTTCCTGAAGGCCTGTTTGCAGTCGGGGTGCCTCTGCTGACACCTGCTTCTGTTCCCACCCTGCCTTTCAGGGCTGCCCCAGAACTGTGACCAACTTCTCTCCGGGTCAGCACCACCACTGCCTGGAGCCAGTTTAACAGAGAGTTCTTAACGTTGTCAGGGCCCCAAAAGAAAGTCCACTGCTGCACAAGATTCCAGACTTCACCACCAGAGCTCTTCTTCTGTCCCCATCTGGTCTCCCAGGCCATCTTCCCAGTTAGAGCTCAGCCCTCCGGCACTGGCCTCTCGGCCCCCAAACCGCCAAGATCAAATCCCATCTAGGAGCCTCCTTTCTGTCACAGCTCCCTTGGTCTCTCTGCAGGAGCCCTTCACCAATTTCCAGATCTTACTGCCCTCAGGTGGGGCTCACTCGGTGATCAGGGACAGCTAGGCCCCAGGCTCTCCTGCCCAAGGGCATGCCACCCTGTTACAACTCCAAACAGAGATTTCATTCACTCTCCAGAGCTGGAGGAGTTTGGATCAAGGTCTGCCTGGTTGCAAGCTTTGCTAGCAATTCTCACAATGTTTTATTCACATAGCCAAGCTGTGGGGGCTGTGCATACCGGGGAGAGAAATCAGCTGCACGACTCAGTACATACAGAAAACAAGCCTCTCTGACCTTCAATGGAAAGACACACAGACTGTGACAAGCATTAAGATCTTAATTCCTCCCAAACGCCTCGTGACTGAACAATGTATAAGCACCTTGTCCTTTAGAATAGGAAAGCGAATCATCCATTAGACATGCTGTTATTGGACTGGTTTTCAATCCTCTCCCTCCCCTCTCCCCCCAAAAAAACCAAAAACACGACACCCACCCACCCAGATGTAGACTAAAGTCTAATAACTAGTCTAGTCACTAGGTGGTGTTCTGTAGCAACTCTTCCAATTGCAGGCCTACAAGCCTTTGCTGGGAATTACATTAGGATTTCCAGGGTATAAGGGGTTACACTTGTGTTCTTAGGAGGGGTTGGAGGAGGTGTCTGTGTGGAGTAGTTTTTTCGTTTCCTTTATTTGCCCAGCACTGAGACACAACGACAGGAAGTGCAGACCAATTCATGATAAAGATCATGCTATAAAGTTGCTGCATTGAAGCTACTGAAAAAACAAACCAAACCCCCCCCCCCCCCCACACACACACACACACTGCTCTACCAATGTAATTCCTACATAGAATGGCTGAAGCACCGGCCTGGGTGCGGGAGACCTGATTTCCAATCCCCAGTTCTGCCATCAACTCACACCACGGCCTCAGGCAAATGAGTTCAGCTGTGTGCCTCTGTCTCCCCACATGTAACCAGGGTACTATATTCACCTACCACACTGGAGTTATTTGCAAAGCACTTTGGAGATGCAAAGCTCCGTATCAAGCGTTGATTGCTACAGTCACAACCCCCAACTGCTGTGTCTTGGCTTTTCAGCCCTAGCCGCGCGTGGTTGAAGTGTGGTTGCAGCATCAGACAGTTGGCTTTGCTTTTCTGGAAGCTTTCCAAAGAGGATACACAAGAGACAACATGCGGCCTTCTTCCTTGGAGAGGCACCTGTGCCCAGAAGGGTTTCCGGTGGCTGCACACAAAGACTATTTATGAGAACAATTAAAGTGTGTGTGTGGGGGGGGGGGGGGGGGAGGGAAGGGCAGGAGAAAGAGGGAGAAATAAAAGTCTGGCATTTTGCGCCCTCCTGTAAGATGGAGGCTGGCTTGCTAGCACCTGGCCCGGCTGGATGCAGACCAGGCCACCCTTGAGACAGTTGCACTTCCAAGGGCCGTGCTGACTCTCGAAGTCAGTTATGCCCATTGCTGCTGCTGGGCCACCTTTTGTTCTAGTTATTGCAAGTGATCAGTGCAGCAGAGACAAGGAGCTCCGCTGGGTGGATCTCAGCCTTCCTCAGGAAACAGACTGGGGCAGCCTTAAGGTACCAGTGCCATTTGTGATGCTCCCATTACCAAGAGTTCACTGAATACGAACTCTACTCTGGACCATCCTGCAGTTCAGTTTGTGCTGTTGCCGGAAATTACTTTTCCGGCCCCTCCTCACAGAACAGTAATGGGTCATTCTCTGTAGTCTTCGTTATTGCTCGAGGGTGGGTTTGCACCATGCTTGAGAAAGTCACGGCCGTAGGCTCAGTGAGGTAAGCGAGACCAGCCTCCCCCAAAGCCCCAGTACCCCCAGAGTGCCATCTTGGGCTCTGCCAACCACAGCATCCCATCAAGTGAGCCTTTGGAGACAGAAGCTGCCTAGAGGCTGATGTCTTCATGGCCAGTAGCCAGGCCTTAATTTTAGGGCCTGGCCATTATGCTGGACCAGAAATGGAATGAGAAGCCAGTGGAACTCGACATGCTCTCGAATCTCTGCTTTGTAAGGCAGAGAGAGGCTCCAGTTCAGGTCTGCTCTACGGTGACCCAGGTCAGAGTTGCTCCACCCTGTCCCCGCTCGGTCCTGCCCATGGATGGCCCCCTCCTTCTGCCAAGGGTAGGGCAGCTTTACGCCAGGAGACCCCCTGCACATGAGGAGTTCTCCAGAGGTCTTGGTGGACGGCAGACTGAGCCCAGCTCAACAGGCAGGCTCCTGGGTGTCTATGTACGTGGGGGTGCAAACTGGAGTGTCTGAAGGGTTTCAGCCTACATCCCCAGGCAGAGCAACACAGCTTAGTCTGAAGGCATGGGTAACAGCAGCTAAGCCACCACAGGGGAATGAGCCCAGACTCCTGGCTGAATGGAGATGGATCCCACAGTTCTCACTGCTGTTGAGTGCGCGTCAAGAACAATAAGAGGCTGCAGGTCACTGTGATGATTGGAAGGATGCGCCCCCGCTAGAGGCAGGTAGATGTTCCTGGCTCACTGCACCGGCAGCTTTCCTTGGTGCCAGCCAAAGCTCAGGGCTGCAATAGCAGCAGGTGTTACAAGGCAGAACCGGGGGGTGTGTTAGAGTGGGTAGAGCCTCAGCTGGGTCTGGCATTTTTAGGAGCCCTCAACCGAAATGTCAATTTGGGGAGAAACCAGGAGGGGTTCATGCTCCAAAGCAAGGAGTTAAAGGTGCATCTTCACGGCGAAAACCCCCGTGGCGGTGAGTCTCCAAGCTGGCTCTGGCTCACGCTATGGGGCTAAGAACAGCAGTG